CCCCAAAACCCCAAAACCCCAAAACCCCAGCAGACCGGTTATGATGATGAAAGTTGATTTTATGAATTATAATATATAAAAATATCATTTAAAGGTTGATAAATTTCAATGATTAAGTTGTTAAATCAATCAAGACATACTGTTTAACACTCCGAGAGATTGTACAAGTCTGTCTGTGAGCATGCCCTGGATACTTGTGCTTAATACTTCTCTCATTAAGTCAGTACTATAATTAATAGTCCAGTAATGAGTGTAAATTCCTCTTTTATTGAAGTGCTTTATCATTGGATCGCAAAGATGACTCATAATCCATATAACTACAACGTTGAGATATCCATACCATCCTGGATTTTCGTTTAGTACATAGTGGACTCTCTCTTAATACATATATGGTAGAGAAGCAACATCTTCTTCTATTGGGAAGAATGGTAGTAATCCTGTAATATATAAGATGAAATATTTTAAGACACTATCAGATGGCATGAAGATTGGAATAGTTGAATCTAGACTTCTGAATTAGGCATTTAAAGCTGAACTAGAACCTCCAACAATAGTAGTACTTTCTCTGTTGTAAGTTTGGATTAGATTAACAAGGGTCGTCCTAGAAACTGAATTACCAATATCCTTAAGCTCGATTTATAGCACATCAGTAGATGATATTGCCTAAAATAGCTATTCTAAAGTTGTGTGGGCTCTTGAATCAGATGGTTGCAAATCGTAGCCACCAACTTTATCTTTCATTAGCGGCATGCTAGTTGAGGGAGTATTAACAACTAAATCACTAACTCCAGCTGTTCTCATGAAATTATCGTCATGGATAGTAATTAAAACATTATCCTAAGCAAGTCTTACATCAGTATCCAACATTGTAATTCCTAATGATTTCTAAATGACAATGTTAAAGGAAAATGGAATATACTGCATGAGTGTAGGCTTGGACTGAATTCTCTGGTCTTTCGTCACCGCCTCCTTTATGTGCATGGATATACTTGCCATGGTGAGTTGGAGTAGGCATAAGTAATCTGTCCTTGTGTTTATGAAGTAGATCAGGATTCATTAAGAAGAAAAATGAGATAGCATTGTAGATACCCCAAACAGCTAAGACTATAGTTGTCCACATTTAATTAAAATATCACTAAAATGACTTTAAATCCATATAAGTACCTTTTAAAATAAGTTAATTGTCAATACAAATTCACAATTTATTGGTGAAATGCTTATCTAGGTAAGTTGCGGGGTTTTGGGGTTCATAGGAAAAAGTGATTGTAATAACAATAGACT